AATAACCTGTTGACTTAATTATAAGCAAATTTTGATTAAAAGCATTTTAAAACTAATAGGGTGGCTGGGCCAGTGTGGCTCAGTGGTTGAACATCAACCTATGAAATAGGAGGTAAGGGTTCAATTCCTGGTTAGGACACATGCCAGGGTTGTGGGCTCAATCCCCAGTGTGGGGCATGCAGGAAGCAGCCAATCAGTGATTCTCTCTCATCATTGATGTTTCTATCTCTCTCTCCCTCTCCCTTCCTCTCTGAAATCAATAAAAATAATTTTTAATAATTAAATTTAATTAATGTTAATTTTCACATGACATATGGACCAGAAATTTTGTCCCATTAAATCCAAAATCTGTTAAATTAATGTCCACAAAATCAAGGGTTTACTGTATTTGTCTTTCTCGGTCTCACTTATTTCACTTAGTATAATGCCTTCTAGGTCCATCCATGTTGTTGTAGGTGGCAAGATTTCATTCTTTCTTATTGCTGAATAATATTCCATTGTGTGTGTATGTGTATATATCACATCTTCTTTATCTATTTGTCTATCAATGGACACCCAGATTTCTTCCATATCTTAGCTCTTATAAATAACTAGAGGCCCAGTGCATGAAATTCATGCACGAGTGGGGTCCCTAGGCCTGACAGGTGATCAGGGCTGATCAGGGCCCAAAGGCCCCAGCAGGGTTGGGAGAGGAGGTGATGGTGGCCAGGCCGGGTGCAGAAGGAACAGACACCAAACGCCAATGCTGCCCTCGGTGCCCTGTCACCCCACAGTTCCCCGCCTCCCCCCTCTCCTTCCCTCAGTGCCACACCACCACCGGGGGCCTGCTGGCCAGGGGAGGGGTGGGGGGGGGGGCCAGGAAAGGTTTCAAATGTGCAGGAGGCAGTCAATCAATAATTCTCTATCATCATTCATGTTTCTATCTCTATTTCTCTCTCCAAAATCAATCAAATATATATATTTTAAATGCAAGGTTTTTAGAGGAAGAAAGGTAGGGCAACGGAGCTATTGACAGGGGGCATTTGAGATCTTGCTCACATTTCAGATTGGATAACATAAGGTGGTCCTCAGGGGGTGACAGGTGAGGAGTGGCACTGGGTAGAGCAGGGCACTGCAGGCTGAGGAACAGGCTGTAATGACTGAGAATGTCTGACAGTGACACCGAGCACGTGTTGGGGCCATTGCTGGAATCATTCATCCTCAAGAGGTTTTCATTCCAATGGGAGGAGAAACATGGACATCAGAAGGCCTTTCTTGCCAAAACCGGTTTGGCTCAGTGGATAGAGCGTCGGCCTGCGGACTGAAAGGTCCCAGGTTCGATTCCGGTCAAGGGCATGTACCTGGGTTGCGGGCACATCCCCAGTGGGAGACGTGCAGGAGGCAGCTGATCGATGTTTCTCTCTCATCGATGTTTCTAACTCTCTATCTCTCTCCCTTCCTCTCTGTAAAAAATCAATAAAATATATTTAAAAAAAAAAAAAAAAGAAGGCCTTTCTTAACCTAGAAGGTGAAGTGGGAGGCAGGAGTGGGCTGCCCTGCCCTCCAAGCCCACAGTATGCAAAGGGGTGGGCAGAAGCCAGAAGCTGGAGCTGACGTGGTGCTATTGGCCGGGGAGGCCAAAGCCACGCCCCCAAGAGCACACAGTCTAAGAAGGGGCGGGCAGGAAGCCAGTAGCTGAAAGTCAGAGCTGAGGCAGCCTGGCAGCACTACATCTGCGTTGGAGCTAGATGGGGAGCAGCTGTCCGTGCAACCAGCTTTGGAGTAGGAGGGGCTGCGCTTCCTGCACGTCACTGGTGAGTCCCTGCAAGCCCGTGGCATGTCAGCCAGGCCATGCGGGGCCTAGGAAGGCCTTTCCCTCCAGAGTCATTCTTCCCAGGGTGGCAGCGTCTGCCACTTTTTTTTTTCCTTTTCTTTTCTTTTTTCCCAGTTTATTTTTTTTATTGGAAAGCAAGCTCTGGGCTTGTAGTTCCTGGGATCCCTGGGCCATAGCATGCGTTGCAAGGCCTCACTGCGCCCCCCTCCCCCTCCTCCTGGGTTGAGCATGTGGCCCCTGGTGATCGTTCCAGTCGTTACACCCTTAGTGCTTTTATTATATAAGACTAGTGGCCCGGTGCTCGAAATTCACCCACATTAAAAGGGAATTAATTAGAGGAAATATTTTAACTACATGAACATAGGGATCCATATATCTTTCAAATTAGTGTTTTTTTATTTCTTCAGATACTCAGAAGTGGGATTGCTGGGTCATAAGGTAGTTCTACTTTTAATTTTTTTGAGGAACTTTCATAGTGTTTTCCATAGTGGCTATATAAGTTTATAGTCACACCAACAGTGCACAAAGGTTCCCTTTCCTCCACACCCTCACCAGATGTTATTGTCAAGCTCCCGACTGCTCTGAACTCCAGTTCCAGGCGAGTCTCTGGGGACCCAGACTCATATAGTAACATGTATATGAAAACAGTATATAAATTTATTAATAAATAAACAGCAACAAAAAGATATAACAACAACAGAGGCATGATATAAAAACAACAAAAACATGATATGAAAACAAAAACATGATATAAAAACAACAGTGACGCAAACAATGACTGATAAAGTGATTAAACTTATTCTAATATCTCCCTGTACACCACATTAAGAGTGAAAACACTTTCAGAGTGCTTGACTAATTTCCCTTGTGATGAAGTACTTAGAACTTTAACTGTAACATCACATGCTCTTCAAACTCGAGAGAAAGCAACATATAACTGACCATGTGCAAAAACGGGTTCAGGTAGGAATATTCCTACTCTGTCTAGAGTTTGTCCTTGTGATTTATTAATA